CGGGTCTGTGCTTTGAGTTGCTGTGGGAAGTGGAAACTGAAGCGGCCAGAACTGACTTCTGTCTTGCTTTGAGCTCCTGGTGGCATCATGCTGTGATGCCCAGGTTCTCCCCAATCGAGGCCCTCAGGTCCCCCAGGTCAGGGGCGATCGACTGATGAATGATCCTTCAGTGAGTGATCCTTCAGTGCTTCGCCTCCTGTGCTGAGTCGCTGCAAGGGTTCCTTGTGTTTTCTCCCGGGATCGTGCAGTTTTACACCACACAAGCAGAGTGCCCACTGCCCGCCTCGAAGGTGTCTGCCTCTGCTTCCAGCTGTGCCCAAGCCCAGCATGGCTGGACTCAAGAGCCAGAAGCTCCACTGTGGCCTGGGCCTGTCCGTCAGTGGGCACTGGGCACCAGGGCTCTGTGGCTGGGAGGGGTTCAAGTGCCTATAGCAGGACATGAAGGTGTAGGTGCAAGTGGCTTGCCTTTGTAAGGTCACATGATGTCTAAGGCACACTTTTGGAGGTGATAATGCAGGGTCTCGCTCTCCCAGGCAAGCACTCTGCATATTGAGTCTTGGGCAGCAGCTTGCAACAGGAATGAGCTCTGCAGTCAGACTTAGCCCCTCCTGTGCTGTGCCCTGACTGCTGTACTGGGAAATGACCTGTCCCCAGCAACAAACCCAGCCTCCTCCTGCTTTTGTTTCCATCTGCAGAATGCAAATGATGCCTCCTCCTCCCCAGGGCAGCTGGAGGGGCCAGAAGTGAGGTAGGACAGTGGGCTCTGTACACCATAGAATTTAGTAAGTAGCAGTTTTAAAGTTCCACATGTTTGATTTTCTGAGCCCAGTGAGTGCCGAGCTATCACTTCAGCTCTCTCTTCCCTCCTGTTATTTACATTTTTAAAAAAAAATTTGAGATAAAGTCCTGGTAAGTTGTGCAGGCTAGTCTGGAACTTGTGGACCTCCTGCCTCAGTCTCCCAAGTAGCGTCTGGCAAGTTCTCTTTTTAACGAGCACCCATTATGTGCCACACATTACTCCAAGCACCAAGGACACAGACACAAACATGAAAATGTCTGACCCAGACCTGGCTTAAAAACTGCAAGTAGAAACGATATTTTCTCCTGTAATCCCAGCACTGGGGAGGCAGAGGCTGGAGGATTGCCAAGAGTTTGAGACGAGCTGAGGGTACATAAACAATTTCAAGGTCAGCCAGCCTGTATTACACAGAGCACAACCCTGTCTCAAACAAAACAAAACTGCATTTGCCAATCCAGTAACTCATGTCCCTTTGCAAGTTTCTCTCTAAGGTCGAGTGTTTTGCTGTCTTACTGACCAGTGTGTTCTCTGACACAGCTGAAGTTTTGGGTACCAACACCAGCTTAGAGCCAGGCCCAGTAAATGTCAACCTGGATGCGGCTCTGGGCCTTTGGGGGGAGATGGGAGTGTGATGTGTCCTGAAGATGGGAGGAGTTCAGGTGTGTCCCAGGGCACCTCCATGCACTAATGATGTTGACCTCAGGGGACTTAGGGCAGCACTCGCTGTCACCATGCACCATGCATGGGCATTGCTCGACTGGGTCTTTCACTAAGTCCTCAACACATTCTGAGGCACACGGGCTACTACTGTGAGCCATTTCCCTGTGGCTGGCTGTACCTTTAAATCTAATTATGACCAAAGTGAATTCTTCCAAAAGAGAACTTTCTCTGAATGCCAAAAGCATTGGAAGACTGGAAGACTGAATACATTTTGTCAAATGCTCTTGCTCTGGGATTTATGCTGATAGCACCAGGAATTTTTTTATTTTATTTTATTTTTTGTCTTTTTCCTTTTTTTTTTGGTCTTTTTCGTTTTTATCGGTACCGGGGATCGAACTCACGACTGGCTGCTTGCAAGGCAGGCGCTTATGCCGCTGAGCTAAATCCCCAGCCCCTCAGGGATTTTTTAAAAAGAGTTTCCTACACACAGTTTCTGGTTAGGAAAAAAACTGCCAAGCTCCCCATCTTAAAGGATCAACAGGTAAAATGCTAAACACCATGGACACCATTTTTCAACCACCCTACTGATTTGTATGACTTGAGAGACAGACTCTTGTTCCTTGGGAAGGGCTGTATCAGAATTACCTGTAGGTGCAAGCTGTAGGACAGCTACCTTCCTGTGCTGGCTGCTTGAATGGTCACACAGCCTATAGGCCAGCAGCTGGGGCTTGCTCATGACTCCTCCGCAGTGCTGGGGCACAGCCTGGAGTTGCTGTATATTACGTGCATGCCCTTGCTAAGCAGCACCCCATGCCCTAAAGGCTCCCCGTTTCCTTGTGATGGTTTCCCACTTCCCTCCAGGATTCCAGCCATGCTTAACTTTCGCCCTGGCCTCGCGGTTCTGCAGCTATACTAGTCCTTCTCTTCTGACCTGAGGAGCTCACCCATTCCCGCTGGCCTGGAAACCATCACTTTAGGCTGGGGACCTAGCACAAATCCCTCACTCCGACTAACAAAAGAATAAAAAGCAGCCACAAATCCCACCATCTCCCAGCCCAGAAATGCTACTGCCTTCATGGGGCCTCCCCTAGCTGTCCAGCAGGTGTACCCTACTTGTGCCAATGGGACTTGGCTTCCCTGGCTTGGCACACCTCCGTGTCAGTCGTATGGAGGTGCTGTCAGTGCTGGGGATGAAGGCTGGACAGCTCTGTCCCCACGCTTTCTCCTGTCCTTGGGGTCTGGCAGCAGGACACCCCGTGAGCACCAGCTCAAGCCCCATGGAAGCAGGCAGGCTACACTGGCAGAGGCCCTTGAGATGGCCCAGCACAGCTTGGCACTGCAGTGTGACCTTTTCCTTGCCTGTCTCTGCAACAGACCTGGTTTCTTTTTCAAAAAGTTTTTATGTGTTAAAAAGCCTCACAAATGTGTTCTGAGAGAGACTTGTATTTCACATGAAGCATGAAGTCTCACGTCACTTCTGTTCCTCCCACATCCCTTCCAGAGTCACAGCCCAGACCAAGTAATGTGACGTCCCTGTGCCTTACACGGACCGTTAAAGGACAAACATGGTTCTCGGCACACACAGTGATGACCTGTTCTCCCACAACTGGCTGCATTTGTTTCCTTTGGACTGCGCAGGACGCAAGGCATGTTTTGGAGTGTTACTGGCCATTTATTTTTCTCTGCACTGTGAGTTCACAACCTTTTGTATTTTCCCTTCTTTTCTTACCAATTTGTGCTCTCGTCATGTATTGTGGATGCTCACCTTTGGTATGTATGCAGTGTTCACCTTTCCCCCACTATGTTAACTTCCCATTTCCTAACAGTGATTCTGGGCAACCCACTCAACCCTACCTCAGCTTCCTTGCTTGTGCGGCTGGGGAGCAAAAGCTGGATAACTGTGTGTGCTGGCTGCTTGTTCCTGCCACGCTGTGGGGCGGAGTCTGCAGTGTCCATGAGGCCTGGAAGTTACAGAAGTACATCTGAATCCTGTCTGCAATCTCACTGTATTAATGTCCACTTTGTATGCTTTAATTTTGTAACCTGGACAACTGTTTCTGAGATGACAATATGTAATCTATTTACTAGTGAATTCTTACTGTATATTTTTCTCTTGAAATTCTGTATTACTTGTAGCCTTTTACTGTCTTGCTTTGTCTTTTTTTAAATAAAAAAAAAGAAAAAAAAAAGAAGTACATCTGAATCTTTGGGCTGAGGCATACACTTCCTAGCTGGCCCTACCCAGTCTGTTTCCATAGCTTTTCAGGTTACCAGCCTTCTGTTTCTATTTTTAATGCAAACTTTGCAATGATAATTTCATCACCATGACTGCTCTGTGCATCCCTGTGTCCAGCTCTAGCATGTGGTCTTCACCGTGCTGCCTAAGAAACCCCTTGGGGCTGGGCAGTGCACAGCCTCAACACCTGTACATGGCATCCTGGCCCATTATTTCAAGAAGCAGGGGGACTTTCATTCCCACAACAAATTCCTTTTTTTTTTGTACTGGGGATCAAACTCATGACTTCATGTTTGTCAAGCAGGCACTTATGCCACTGAGCTAAATCCTCCGCCCCCCACGACAAATTTTAAAGTTTTCACTTGTCGTGCAAGTCCTTGCTCTCACAACTTCTCCAGTCAGATCAGGCTGTGACTGCATTAGTTGGTGGGTAAGAAACAAGAGCAAGTGTGTCAGCTGGGCCTGAGCCGGGCCTCTGCCCTGGGTCTGTGAAGGATCGAGAGTCATAGGGGCCTGTGCAACTCCTCTCACATGCAGGGTTAGAGTTTCCGCCTTGAAGCCTCCCTGAATTCATCAGGAAGTCCTGATGAAAGTTACTATCTCATGGGCCAGGCGTGGGGGCACACACCTGTAATCTTGGCTACTCAGGAGGATGAGGCAGGAGAAAGGCAAGTCTGAGCCAGCCGGGGGCAGCTGAGTGAGACCATGTCTCAAAATAAAAAAATAAGAGGATCGGGAGGTAGCTCGGTGGCAGAGCAGTTGTGTACCATGTATAAGCCTGGGCTGCATCTCCAGCACTGCTGATGACACAAACTCATTGTTTACTACTTCTTCAACAGCGTATTAGAACTAGGCTGGATAATAACTTCTTCACGTGTGTGTAAAGTACCTTAGAATGTTAAATGCTTAAACAGGTGTGTTCCTATCCATTCCAACAGCTGATCTGGGAAGGACGGGCAAGTGTTACTATGCCCACTCTGGGTCGGTGGATGCTGGATTTGGTCGATGCTGCTTGAGTACTTCTCCAGAGAATGGAGGGAGGCTCACAGAGCTGCAGGAGAGTGCGGGCGGGCCTGGAATGCTGTTAGAGCGGGCCAGCTGCAGTCACAGCCTCCAGATACTGTGCACATGCAGCATGTACATGAGTAGGTACACCCCCCCCCCATGCACGCACACATACACACTCACATGCTCTCACACTTTTTAATGTGCAAACCAGGGGAAAGTTTTCAGCATGAAATTATTTGCCACTGGACAATGAGTGTACAAAAATAAGAAAAAATAAACCCGAGTCTGACCACCGGGTTAATAGCTGAGGTCTTTATTTTCATTTGTATGTACAATAAAAGTGCTGCTGACAACCAGCAGCAACCAGACAGAACATAAATTTAATTCTCTCTCAACAATTAGCAGCTCAAGGTCTATCAACTACAGTGTTAACGTTCACGCGTTCACAAATGTCATCTCTATACTCCCAATTCGTGCATGTGAGTTTTTATTCTTACACACTTGGATAAAACACAGTCTAGTAGTCAGTCCCTACAGAGGGGTGCCCTAGCATACACCACACACAGAAATGTTAAAACTCTCAGAGCCACACTTGAAATCCCAGGATTTGGTGGGGGTGGTAGTGTAGGAACCATGTTTTTGTCTGTGCCGGCTTGTCGATCCTAATGTTGGTTCTGGTTCTGGATGTCTATTTCCCAAGGCTGAAGGGCAGCTCCCTGTGAGAATCCATGTGGAGGCCAGCATTCTTCTGGCTGCACCACAGTGAAACATGTGGTTGGACACAGAACCACAAGCCATCAAGACCACACCATGGCATGCCCTCCGCTAAGCACGGCCAGCAAGGAAAGCTCGATTCCCACACTCCTCCTGGAGTCCATCTCACCCTGTGGGACACAGGAGAGAAGACCTACTCACAACGTGGAAGGTTTCACCTTCATTTAGATGGTGAGGAGCCAGTGGAGTAGGAAGCCTTCCTTGCTGGTTGGGTGCACTGAGTGGACGCCCAGTTACCACACAGCCAGCCTTGCTCACCTGGCTTGGCACCAGCAGCACAGATGCACAATCAAGGAATGATTCATTTCACAGGGGGTGCGCAATGTCTTTTTAAAAAGAGAAGCATGAAGTGAGAATTTTCCACTCCAAACAGATATGAGACCACAGTATGAAGTTATCAAAAGGGGTCTGAACAGATGGGAGAATCCAAGAACGATGCAGAGAAACTCAAAGGTAACCAGGCTGGGCAGTGGGAAGGATGGGCAGGCATGAAAACAGACACAGGGGTTTTAGAAAGCATTAAACACAGACTACGCTGGGCCTTGTGAGTGATCAGGTGACTTGAGAGTGAGAGTCACCGTGTGTCTGAGCTGCACCGACATCCTTCCCAAGACAGCCTGAGGAAGAAGGGGATCAGCCTGGCCTGTCTGGCACGGCTCCGGGAGATTTTCTAGAGGTGAAACCTTCCTTGGAGAGAAAAAACTGTCCTTAGTCCATGGGAACCACATCACTGCTGTCACTGTGATTTCTATCTAGCGCCTGTGAACCTGCGAGCTCCGGGAAGCAGGAGCCTCAAAGGTTGTGTTTGGGGAACTGACTGCAGCTACAGCATCTTTCCAACAGCTTGGCCGGCATCTTTCTCTACTCTGAGCAATTAAGCTAAACCAGAAACTGCTGGACTGACAGGGTCAAGTCATCCTCTGGTACTCCTGTTATGGTCACTGCGGTATCTTCAGGCAAAGTTAACATGTGAAACACACAGGCTCCGGGACAGTTTGGTTTTGGCATGAACACCTTTTGAAGAAATCACACCCCTATGGTCCCTGCTCTGGGTGCTATGAGGTGACGGGTGAGGATTGGGGTACCTGAGTTAAGCGTCAACATGGTTATGGGGACAATATGCTAGCTGAGAAGGCCAGCCCACCACAGCACAAGGAGGCTGCAGCTGTCATGTCAGCTGTCCTGACAGGCAGGCAGCTGACCTAGTCCAGAGCTGTCCTGGCATGGGGAACAGGCAAAGTAAGCTCGGCTTGGTAAGAGTATGCGCCCCTGCGCGTCACATGGCTGCAAACAACCAGGCTGTAAACAACCAGGCTGTGAAGGAAGAGCATTTGTGACTCAACACTAAGGGTAATAGGGAAAGACTAACCAGATAAGCTCTAAAAGTTTAAATTCCACCATGTCGATGGAGCTGGCTACAGGGTGGGGAAGAAGGCTCAGCTCATTTTCTATACTGCCTATAAAAAGTCCACTGAGCGGGGTTAGGGTAGTAAGTCTGTCTTGATTAGGAGGAAGCTGGCAACATTTCACACTCACAATCTGGGTCCTTCTAACCTGACATTTCCTTTTCTGTTCTTCAGGAGAATCCCCTTTAGTTGATTCTCTTAGGCAAACAGAATAAAGCTTTGCGATGAGGGTGCTGGGGCCAGAATGCAGACAGAAGACTCCATGTCGCTTTGGTTTTGGTAATTTGGGGTGTTAATAAATTAAGGGCATACGAGGAATTACTTATGTCCCTCATAACACAGTCTCGATTTCTCCTAATGACACTCCTAGCCCAAGGTCATCAGAGGAACGTTTACCTGGGCAGCACAGTCCCAGCCCTACCACACTGGTCTGCAGAAAGAGTCCCCTCTCCCTGAATACCTCTTGCCTCTCCAAACAAGCCACGCCCAGGAAGTGGCTGTGTGGGGGCAGCAGGACACCAGAAAGCAGCAGCAGCCAGAGAAGGAAGTGCAAGCTGGATCTGGAGCCAGGGGCTGCAGAGGGCAGTGTGGACAACAAGGCTCTCCCTGAACTGTCCTGGACAGGAGGGGCAGCACACTTACATATTCACACATCTTCATTTAAAAACAGCACTTCTTTATTTCAAAGGAAAAATAAAAGACCTTCCCAACCCTTTCCAAAAAAACCCAATAATAATAATAATAACAATAATAAAAATCCTATTAGAAACCATAAGGAAGCACTGAGAGTTTGAGTATTACATTCTTCAAGTATGCGGTTCAGGTTTTTATTTTTAAGTTGGTAACTATACACATATAAAAAAAACCTTAAAAGTGTGGCCAAGGGATTTTGCTTAAAACGAAGGATTTAGAGGGCCACTTCACAACACTGCAGACTGTGCAGGGTCCTTCTGGGCTCCTCATGGCTCCTGGCAGGGTCAGGGCCCGTGTTTACCAGCGAGCATGTGTCCAGGGTTTGCACCAGTAGCCAACTGGGGCGAGAAGTCAGGGAACGTGTGTGTCCTTTCACCCTGGATCCAAGCATTCAGACCTGGAATGTGGTCAGATTTCACAGTAGTCAGCCTGGGCGTGGAGTGGGCCTGGGCAGGGAGGGTGTTGTAACTGCTGTGCTGCCTGGTTCCATATCTCTTCAGGAGTCTGAGTACAGTCCTTCAAGCCACGATTCTGAATGCCCTTCATGGTGCCCTGACTGTGGGTTCATGTTAAAGGACTGTTTAAGATTGCATCCCAAGGAAATCATGCTACATAAAAATGATCCAAGATTTTCGCCCAAAAAAAGTTCTTGGATAAAATCTAAAAAATACTATTGCAATTGCGTCTCTTGAAGAAAAAAACATTATTCTAAATGTAAACAGATTCACTCAACTCTTCCGCTGCTGCAGGGGCTCCTGAGCAGGCTGGCCGCTGTCTTGCTCTCCATGTGCACCGTGGGCAGGATCACTGTGTTGGGCAGCATCATCTAGGGGGCGAGAAGAATCGTTCCACGTAGCTGAAGAGGGCGTCCCAATGCTTCCAGAGAAAGGCAACGAAAACCACGAGGAATAAAGTGCTGAACGTCCTGTTGCGTGTCTTCATGAGTGGGACCACGCAGTTGGCCACTGTGGACACAAAGACCAGGAGCACGGCCATGACAGCCAGGAGGATGTTGATGAGCTTGCCCAACAGGTTGCGCGCAGTAGCGTTCTCCAGCCCCTCTAGCTGTACCACCTGCTGCTGCTGCTGCTGCAGCTCCATCTTGGAGATGCGGGTCTGGCATGCCTCCAGGGCCTCCTGCGGGATGGGGTGGGGTGGGGTGGGACAGGAGGTTAGGCCTGCTGCCATGCATGCACACTGCCCACCTTTCCAATTAGGACTCCCTCAAGTAGGTGTCACCTGCTCCTGCACCCTGGGCATCCCCAGGTAGCTGGCCATTCTAATTTATTTGATCTAGTACATTTTAATGACAAGACTGCAGATGTCTGATTTTTTCCTTTAAAAATTATTAATCTTCCATTCTCACAAGTTGAGGTAAAAAAAATTATTAATCTAAGTTACTCTGGACATGTATAGTTACTTAATATAAACACAAATTTTTATTTGAAAACCCAGCTTGGCAAGTACTCAGCCTTGTAACTAGGGACCTAGAGAGGTTAGGGCTTGGCTTTTATTTCCTAGCTCAACACGAATAGTGTTCTATAGGAATCCACCCACAGCTTACTTTTTCATTGCACAGTAGGTTTTGAAGCCTGTTCAGGCCAACACCTGGAGATCCCCTGTGCTTTTATCCACTGCCCAGCATGCTGCAGACTGTGTGTGTCCCAGTGTTTTAGTCAGTTCCTTCTTGGGAACTTGAGGTTGTTTCCAACTGCTTCAACCTATAACTACTGCTGTGGGCATCTTCTGAGCATGCCTCCCTGTACACTTTGCCTTGTGTTTTCTAATTCAGCCAGCACCTGACCTCAATGAGAAGGAACCGACTACTCTCATGAGGAAACACTTCCCTTTGGTGGCTCTCACACAGGGGACCAAGCATCAAGAGAGATATGCTCCCCTGAAGGCTAAGCCTTCACTCAGAGTTTACCCAGGAACCAGAGCCCATGTCCTTAGTTGTGTCCAGCAGTGCCTGGCCCTGGTTTTAATCACCCTGCTTTCCTAGGGGTGAGGCAGGTACAGGCAACACGCTCCTGTAGCCAGCTACACAGTGGGTGGCCTGAGTGCTTTTCTGTCTAGAACCATCTGAGGAGGACTGCCAGAAACAGCAACAAGACTCCAGGTCTGGAGAAGATGCCCTCGGTGGCTGCTGGTGGCTCTGCTGAGCTTCCATTCTTTTGGACCAGGTTCTTTCAAAAGGCCTTTGTAGGAAACCACTGAAACCTGGTCCCTCAGATTGACCTCTTGGTCAAAACAAAACAAAACTAAACTTCCTATTTCTCCATGGGATAAAACAGGCTGTTTGTCTGAAACATTAATGTCAAATGGTGATGTGCCTTCCAGGGACGTGGATTTGGCAGCTGTAACAGAAGCCCCATCTCCTATTTTTTTTTTTGAGATGGGATTCAGGCTGGCCTTGAGCTCACTTTGTAGCCCAGGCTGGCCTTGAACTCACAACGATCCTCCCACTTCAGCCTCCCGAGTGCTGGGATTGAAACTATTTTTTTTTTTTTTCTTTTTCCTTTTTATCGGTGCCAGGGATCGAACTCACGACTGCCTGCTTGCAAGGCAGGCGCTTATGCCGCTGAGCTAAATCCCCAGCCCCCCGAGTGCTGGGATTACAGGTGTGAGCCACCATGCCCAGCCCCATCTCCCATTTAAAAGTGGAGGTGAGATGACCTTAGGAGGGTCACAGCAGCTCTGGAACCAGTGGATGGAACTCTGATTTCCTGCAATTCAGACACATCTCCCAGTCTGGTGAACCTCTCTAGAGCTACATGGATGTCTGAAATCACGCCCAAGTCATCAAGAAGGCAGGCGTATCACAGCGAGTACAAGCTTTGCTGAAGACTGTCTCCCTGACTTTCCTCTTGTTGTCTTCTCCTTTTCTAACCCTCTAGTGTTTGCTTTTACAAAACCTTATTCTTTACACTTACCTGGATATCCCGGGCCCGTTCATAAGACTGATAGGCAATTTTCTCTTCCATACTGGCCAACTCCTGCTTCAAGTTCAAGATTTCATTCTGGTGGAGTTCTGTTAGGTCATTTAGTTGTTCTTCTAATCGTTCACATCTACAAAGGGACAGATCACAATTTGATGCACTCTGTATCTTTCCTAGTACAATTTGTATCCAACCCCAAAATCCATTCTGCAAAGGAGGACAGAAGGACAAATGAACTGAGTGGCCTGGGGACAGGGAATGCTTGTCACAAACCAACCATACAGCAGCATGGCTTCACCAGTGTTCCCAGGGTGTAGTGTCCACAATGATGTCTGGAATCCCAGTTAGCTTTGTACTACCAGATTATTAAGCAGCTCTGCCTTTGTGCTGAGCTGTATAGCACAAGCACAAGCTGGGGTGTGCAAACCTCATGAATGGAAACTGACTTCCTGAATTCTCTGGGATCCCATTCACCCCTGGCTGGCTCACTCACCTGGTTTTTGTGTCTCTGACCTGGAGGGCCAGAGCACAGGGTGGCTGCACCTGGATACCACAGTGACTGCTCCCCCTACTGAGTACAACCCTCAGGAGGGAGAGCTGGAAACCAGGACTCTGGGTACAGGAATGCCAACAGGAAACATGAAGATCAATGGGAAGAGGTGGCTGAATGCCTGGACACAGTGTGCAGGGAAGGTGATTGTTCTGCTCCATTCTCAGCAAAAAGGGATGGGACTTAAGCAGGAGCAATAGTGGCTGGGAGGAACAGAGGTGTTGTAGGAGGTGCATCGCACACAGAATGGATGCTAGTGCAAATTCTCAAGATGGGGCCAGCTAGTACATGTGAGGACAGGACAGAGGCCCAAGTGGCTATGGCTATGCACAAACAGGAAGATCAGAGGGACAGGTTCATTCATGGCAGCAGGGAGTTTCATTCATGTTGTGTGACTGGTACTAAGCCCACAGCTAGGAGGGTCTGACTGTGAATTAGTACTGGGTTAGGTGTCTAGGACCTACTGGACGGAACAGGTCTGCAGGACAAGATCAGAGATTGCAGGTACACAAAGGTGGGGAGATGCACAGAGGAGTCTGACTGGCGCCCTTCAGAGGGAGGTAGGCAGGATCCAGGATGGACCACAGCAGGCCCACAATAGGGCTCTCAAGGAGGTGCTCAGATCAGAGCCTGGGAAATGGGCTGTCTGATACTGTACTGGGGTTAGCTCAACTGGTGATGTTTGAGTTCTAGGGACTGAACAAATGCTGGCAGAGGGTGGGAGGTATAGCTCAGTGGCACAGTACCTGGCAGGTAGGCATCAGGTCCTGAATTTGATTCTCAGTTCCAAAAAACAAAACAAATGAACAAACCAAAAAAGTTCAGCAGGTAGCATCAAGCTGAAGACTACATGCTGGAGACAGAAGACTGGTAGAGCATGAGACGAGGCAAGAAGGAATTATGTCCAGCTGTAGGGCTGGACTAGCATTTCTGAGTCTGTCAGGGTGGCTGGCAGAGCTCACCTCCTTTGCCCCTGCAGCACTGCACAATGTGGCACGAAGCCCTGAGGTGCGCCCCACCAGTTCCAAAAACACAAGAACTACGACACATGTGCAGTGTTAACACTAGTCCATCCCTCTTTGTTTTGTATCACACCTATAGTATACACACCATTGTAATCAGAATTTTCAAAGGAATAGATTTAATAGAGGACACATAATTTATAGGATTATTTTGTAATATTCACCCAAAGAGTCAAATGCAAGAGATCTGTCCACCACACTAGAGATCCAAAGAATCTAGCTGAAGGCCTGGATCCCTTGGCAATGTCCTTCATGAGTCCAACTGGAGGCCTAGAGACCACAATGTCTCATGGGAGTCTGTATTAAGGGTCTGCACTGGGAAGGCCCAAAGCCCAGTGGTGGAAGCTAGAAAGGTCTGTACCAGCGGAATGAAGGACCTATGGCCAGTAGGCTGAGGGATCTGCACTCGAGTAAGAAGTGATGCTCAAGTTGAGGACCCGAGCTCCTCCAATGATGAAAACAGCTGAGTTCATATGAGGAAAGCTGGTGTGACAAGCTTCCCCAGGAGGATAAACAGCACACCATCTTCCACTCCTGTTCTCTTTTTATGCTGTGGTAACAATTCTCAGGTGGGCCTTCCCCACTCAGAATCACATTGATTCAGTTCAGCTGGCTGTTACAAAGTGCCCATTAGTTAACTCACCACACTGTTAAGTAATATAAAGAATTTCTCTGTTTAAGGTAGTTTTTGTGTTATACCATCAATGTTCTATCTTAAACTCCTTCCTTTTTCCTTTCCTTCTTTTTTTCTGGCACTGGGGAATGAACCCAGTGCCTTTATCCTGAGCTGCATTCCCAGCCCTCTTCTCTTTTTCTTTTCTAGAGACTAGAGTTAGAACTTGTGATCCTCTTGCTTCAGCCTCCCAGAGTGCTGTGATTTGAGGCTTGTGTCATTACACCCAGCTAACCCCACTCTTTAAGTATCAAGGATTTAAAAACATAAAAATTCAGCAGATGTGGTGGTACAAGCCTGTAATCTTAGCACTCTGGCAGCCTGAGGTAGGAGGATTTCAAGTTTGAGCACAGCCTGGGTAACAGATACTTGATGAGACTGCCTTAAAATAAAAATTTTAAAAAGGGCTGGGGTGCAGCTCAGTGTCAAGACCGAGGCTTCAGTCTCCAGCACAGGGTGTGCATGGGGAGGGAGTGTAGCCTGACCCTTTCTACTGTTACTGAGTTTGGTAATTCTCTGCTGTCCTTGGTAGGAACTGCATCTCTTGTCCTTCACACACTCTTGCTCCTGCTTCCTGCCACCTTCCTTGGTATGTAGGACAACACTCTCTGCACTTCTGCCTTGCGCCTGCTGCCCAGGCCACTAGCTGGGAAACAGATGCCATCTCTTGATCTCATTTCCACCAGGTTCCAGGAGACTACGCCATCACACTGCTTCTGCAAGTGTCCTGCTTCAGCCCTGTATGCGGCAGTGCTTGGAGTGTGTGACATGTCTGAATTCTTTCTTCACCAGAGAGCAGCTGAAGACAAAAGTGCTGGTCTCACTGGAGGTGGAGCTCACAAATGAGAATGTGCATAGCACAAGGTTACAGGTTCAATCCCCAGTACTAAAAAGTACACAAAAACAAAAAGCAAAGCAACACAGTGTGCAGCTTGTGGCATTTATGGGACAGCTGTGTCTGACAGGAAGCAATTCTCCTCGAGTGTCAGGGGTTGGGAGCAGGCAAGGGAGCACACAGACACAAGTGGTGGTCACCACCATTCCACCTACTACACCCATGTGCTCAGTGTCTCAGGCCAAGTGAGACTGTGGATCTCACCTGACATTCCACATGGCTCATGGAACAAATTAGAAAGGAGCAACAGCATCAAAAGCTGCTACCATTTGTTCAGTGCTCGCTATGCAAATCACTTCTGCAGCCCCAGGAGGGCAGACTTGCAACCTTCACCTCACAGGTGAAGGAACTGAAGCTTGGGGAAGTTCCATAAGGACCTGGTTAAGGCCATACAGCAGGGAACAAGGACTCAGCCAGATCTGTATGACACACAACACTGATGCCACTCTGAAGAGTCCAGAAGCCCAGATCAAACAACTTTAAAAGTAAGGCATCTATCTGGCAGCCACCAAAGGGATGGGGTGGCACCATGGTGGCTAACGGAGGCAGCCTGATGCCAGGTGGTAGTGACAGGAGGGAGAAAGTGATACAGAAAAATCAGGGACCCCATGACAGGAAAATAAGCTAGTCAGCAGTGACACGGAGGCTCAAAGCCCGCTTGCCATAGAGGGACCATGGGGGGGGGGCAACTGCTCTGGAAATGGTTTGGTAGCTCCTCAAAGGTAAACCTGGATTTCACACGGGCAGGAATGCTGAAGAGAAATGAAAACCCATTTCCACATAAAAATGTGTATAGTAACAGCATTTTTGTAAGACACAAAAAGAAATCACTCAGGTGTGTAAGTTCATCATGTAATAATGAATCATTTTGGTTGTTCACGATGAAGTATCCAAGTTTTGTACCTGAATCTGCTTGTTGAGTGCTACCCTGCGAGTTGTTTATTCTATTCTCCTTCTATGTATGTATCCAGCAAGATATAGAACACAAACGTAAATACAATTTGCATGAGGTATAGCAGTGCCTGCCTGTAATCTCAACATTCTGGGAAACTGAGGCAGAAAGATCACAAGTTTGGCAACTCAGCAAGACTTTGTCTCAAAATAAAAAATAAAAAAAGGGTTGAGGATGTAGCTTAGTACAAAAAGGCCCAGGTTCAATCCTAGTACTGGAAAAGCAAACTAACCAATTTTGCTTTTCAATTAGATATACAAGACATGGTTGAAATATATGGTGAATGAATTTATTAAGTAAAAGACACATTTTCCACTAATCCCCCTTCCTTCAAACACACTTAACTCATTGTTCTTGCCACTTTCCTGAAGCAGTTCTGGCGTCCTCTTTCCTGAGTGTCTTTAGTTGCACTGCTGTGGCTTCCCTGATGTCCTGAATCCAATCAAAATGTTTCTCTTTCATTTTGTTTCTCAGTCCATTTTGACTTTGGGGAAGAGCCAGAAGTCTCATGGTGTCAGATCTGGTGAATAAGGTGGATGAGGACACAGCTTTTATGAGCCTGCTTTTTCGTTGGATGGCACCTGGCAGCAGTCTTCACTATGTTTTTGATCACATACCGTACAGACATTCACGAAAGAGGACTTCCAGAACTGCTCTGGAAAGTGTCAAGAACATTGGGATGAGTGTGCTTACAGTGCGGGGGATTAATGGCAAGAACAGTGAGATAAAGTGTTTGAAGTGAGTGGATAAGGGGAAAGTATCTTTTACTGTAGCATAATTTAAAAAATGCCAATACTGATCACATATTTTGATCGTCCCTAGTGTGTATATGAAACTCCAGAGTCCTAGGCAAACCTACAAAGAGGTGAGGCTAATATCTGTAGTCTTGCCCCTTAACTCACTAAACTCCTCCGGTTGGGCTCAAACTTATGATCCTCCTGCCTCATCTTCTAGGACTGCTGGGATGCAGGTGGCTTATCTTTACACATGGCACAAGGCCAGAGTGCTGAAGTCCTCCAGCAGACCAAGCCCCAGGTG